GGGGACAGTGCCCACCTCTGCGGGCTCAACCAGTACCTGGAGCACACCCACAGCAAGTTCAGGTGATGGTCATGGGGTGGGAGGGTGGCTTGGAGCCTGTGGTAGGGGTTTGGGGCTGAGCGAAGGGGTCTGTCCCTGCAGGAGGTTCATCTCTGCTGCCTGCTGTGTCCCTGAGCCTGAGGAGAGGTTTGACATGGATGAGTACTCAGAGATGGTGGCAGTGGCCAAACCAGTCATCTACATCACTGTGGGGGAGCTCATCAACACGCACAAGGTCGGGGCATAAAGCTCAGGGCAAGCTCTGTTTCCTCTGCTCCCACCCCCTGGGCTTTCTGCTGGGTTTCCTCCCATTCTTCTTCTGTATTCCACCCCTGGCACAGCTTCTCTCTTCCTGACCCCTTTTTTTCTCCTCTAAGCAAGGAACTAACCTAGATTCTGCAGGTTTGTCCTTTTACAAGCCTCAGATCTTCTCCATCCCCTCCTGGGTGTGAATGGTGGCCCTCCCTCACTCTCCATTTGCATCCCCCTTGCCACTGATTCATCCCTTGCACTGTCCAGCTCCTGCTGGAGCACCAGGACTCCATCACATCACACCCCAGTGACCCCCTGCACGAGCTCCTGGAGGATCTTGATGAGCTCCCTACAGTCCAGTCCCTGCTTGGTAGGTTGGATTGTGGGACCTGATGGGAGGAGGGTGGACGTGGGCACCCTTTTCTTGCACGAAGCTTGAGCTGGATTGCTTTGGGCATGGAAAGCCAGCCCTCTGGAGCCCAACACAGCTAGCAGGGCTCTCTGTGCCCTCACAGGGGACAGTGTTGGCAGCCTGGGGGACAGCAGTGCTGAGCAGCTCTCCCAGCTCAGCAGAACAGAGATCTCCCTCACCCTCACCAACAAGCTGGTGCCAGTGGCCAGCAGCGAGGAGAGTGACACGAGGAGCCTGCTGCTGAGGTGAGGATGGGCTCTGGGGGCATCAGGAGGGTACTGGGATGCTCAAGGAGGGCAAAAAACCCTTGGGAGGCAACTGAATATTGGGTGGAGGGTGATGGTCTGGAGCAGATTGCTCACGTCTCCCTCTGGTCTCTAGCACCAAGCAGATGCTGGTGGATTTGATCCAGTGCCAAGCAGGAGATTCCCTCCCAGACATCCTGTGGACACCAGCCTCAGAGCATGAGGTGAGATGTGTGAGGCTGCTGCTGGGGATGAACTGAAAAACTTGGTGGGCAAAGGGTGAAAAAGTTCTCAGCAAAAAGCTGCCCTGCTCCTCTCAGAGGTTTGGCTCTGTGATCCAGCTCTTGTGATCCAGCAGTGCCTGGACTCTGGTTTTCAGAAAAATCACCTGTTCTGGGCCACATCAAAGTGTGGGTGAAGGAGTTGTATGGTAAATTCAAGGTGACCCCTGTGGCAGGGAGAAATGATTAATCTGACTCCATGATATCAGAAGGCTAATTAATTACTTAATTATACTATATTATTCTACACTATATCTAAGCTGAAACTGCACAAGCACTCAATTGCACAAAATCGTGTGACTGTCAGGACACAGTTTGCAGAGATTGGTCAAGACAACAAAACACCATCACTTTGGGTAAACCATCTCCATATTGCATTCCACTTTGGCACAGCACAGGCACATCAAATGAGATAAGAATTGTTTTGATCATTCTTTTCTCTGCTTCTCTCAGGTTCAGAGAATGAGAATCCCGCAGAGTTCGCTTGTTCCATCTCTGTACCCCATTCCAGCTGTGTTCCAGGCTGACCCTTTCTCATCTTTAGGAAGCTGCCCATGAGCACCTGGTGTGCCAGCGAGCTCTGTGGGATGCCCAGCCCTCTGCCCAGCAGCTGAAGCACCACCCCTGCCTGGCTGCCAACAGCCAGCTCTCCATGGAGGAGAAGAAGCGCAAGGTCATCCGCAACCTGCGGCGCTTGGAGAGCCTGGGGCTGGTGCACTCTGCCAGCCACTACCAGGAGCTCATTGATGAGCTGGCCAAGGTGTGCTGAGCTGGGAATCACCCCTAAACCCCCAGAGCTCCTGCTCTGGTTAAGTTTTTCATGACAAACGTTGGTTTTCTGGCGCTGCTGTTTCCTGCAGGACATCCGGAACCAGCGGCGGCACCGGCAGCAGCGCCGCAGGGAGCTCCTGAAGCTGAGGCACACCCTGGAGGGCCTCGATGCCAAGACTCTGTTTTATGAGGAGCAAATTGATTATTACAACCAGTACATCAAGACCTGCCTTGACAACTTGGCAGCCAGCAACAAGTGAGGTTCCTTACCAAAAATCAGTAATTTTTTAAAGAAAAATGTTATTTGTTTTCATTGCTCTCTGGTTGTTGTGAGTCCTGGAGATGTTGGGGATCCAAGGAGTCACAGATGGCCAGAGATGAGCTCTCAGCATGTGCTCCCTTCTCTTCCAGGGGCAGTGGGAAGAGCAAGAAGCTGCCATCTCTGCACTACACAGCAGCCCAGCTGTGGGACAAGGGGGTGCTGCTGGAGATCCAGGACCTGCCACCCAGCCAGTGAGTGACCCTGCCCCAGGGGAGGAGCTCCTGCTTGGGGTTATTCAGTGCAGGGCCAGGAGCTGGACTTAATGATCCCTGTGGGTCCCTTCTTATTCAGGATATTCTGTGATTTTATGAGAATTTGGGCAGGTAGAGGAAAATAACCGAGGAGGAGGAGGATGCACGTGGGCCACTGTTGTCCTGCCATGTGGGACAAGTTTTGTGTAGGAAAGTTGGGATTTGCAGTGGGGTTTGGGCTGTGGGTCTGGTCTGGCTGCTGTGCTGATGCACTGGGTGGGTGAGCTGCTCCCTGGATGTGTTAAAGCTTTTGGCAGTGAGTGGCTCTGTCTTCTCAGGCTCAAGAATGTGGTTTTTGACATCATCCCCTGTGAGGAATCAGGGAAGTTCCAGGTGAAAGCCAAATTCATGGGGATCGACATGGAGGACTTCCAGCTGCACTACCAGGTGGGAAACCTGTCCTGCAGCTCCTGGGGCTCACAGGGATGGGGACAGCCAGGGCATGTGGGGCTGGCTGCTGTCCCCACACCTGCAGCTCTTGTGGGGACTTGGAGCCCATGTGGAGCCCTGCCCTCTTGGGGTTTATGTGGTTGGGATGACCCAAAGGTGTCAGAAAGTCTCATTTTCCCAGCCCTGAGATTGAAGAAGGAGTCAGGATTCTTTGGCTGTGGTTTTCAAGGTTGTTCATTCTCTGTTATCTCTAACATTCTTTTCCTGGCCTGCTGAGGTCTGTCTGGCAGGTCAGGTTGTGGCACACTGACTGCCCTCAGGGTGGTGTTATCTTTTTATACTTAAAACTACGTGTACATGGTAAAAAATCAGGGGCTAGGGTTTAGTTGGGGCATACCATTAAGGAAGGGGAGAGCCCTCTTTCTTTAGCTTAAAAGGCTCATGCTGGTTCATAGCTTCTTAATGATTAGGATGATATTAGAGAGGATCAGCTTTCAAAGTTGGCGAGTGGCGTGGATTCTTCTACAATTGGTATGAAGCTGTGGTTGGCTCACAATAATTTCCCAATAATTCACAATAACTTCCCAATACCTATCACCTATGTTAGACAGTGAGTTTCCACTCTAAACCAATCCTAAAATGCCCTCATCACGCAGAAGATGGAGGCCAAGAAGAAGAAAGAAGAAGGACAAGGCACACCCAAATCCCTCCATCTTGGCTTCTGAAACCCCATTCTAAAAACCCCAAAGTTTTACTTTTTCACCCTGTGACAATCTGACTATCATTCTGCTTAAATTCTCGTGACTTGTAAATACTTACATAAAGCTGGTAATTTTCTCCATGGGTTAAAATCAAAGGCACAGGGCTCTTTGGCTTCATGCTAAGGTCTCTGGGCCCCCTGGCAGGGTCTGGAGCCCTCCAGGGCAGCCAGAGGAGTTTCCTGGGTTCTGACACAAACCCAGCTCCCTGTGCCCGGGCTGGGCACCCAGCAGGGCTTCCCTGGCAGGGCACAGTGGCAGTGACAGTCCCCTCTCCCACAGGACCTGCTGCAGCTGCAGTACGAGGGTGTAGCAGTCATGAAGATGTTCCACAAGGCCAAGGTCAACGTCAACCTGCTCATCTTCCTCCTCAACAAGAAGTTCTTCAAGAAGTGACAGGGTCAGGGGTGGGGCTGGAGGGAAGGGGGGCAATGGAAACCTGCCAAAGAGACCTCAGGGTTGGTGGTGCCAGGGCAGGGGAGCTGCTGCTGGCCATGGAGCTTTCCTGCACGGATTCAGTGCCTGAGTGAGGAACACAGGGCCCAGCCCCAGCCCTGGGCACCCCGAGCTTGGTACTGAACCAGTGCCCAACCTCCCTGCAGGAGGATGCACTGCCAAAGCTTCTGCAGCTTTTAAAATCTATTTAGTCTGGGTGTTTTGGCTGTTTTATTCTTGTGTTGCCTACAGCCAGCAGCCCACTCTGTATTTCTGGACACTACACAGCTTTTACTGATATAATAAAGGTATCTTATTTATCTATATATCTAATCTATCTATCTATCTCTCTACCTATCTCTCTCTATATTGATATCTATATCTATATATTGATATCTATATCTATATATTGATATATATATATATATTTATATATGTATCCATATCTATATGTATGGATACATATATATAAATATAGATATGGATAGATATGGATATCTATCCATATCTATATTTATATATGAATATAGAAATATATTTATATAAGAAATATATATATCTATATTTTTATATATATCCATATCTATCTAGATATGGATGTATATACATAAATATATATATATGTATTTATTATATAAATATATTTCTTCCTCACACTAAGGCTTGGGAAATGTCAGAATCAGTTTTTATATGGAGGGTTAGTGAGAAGCCAGAACAGAGAGGTAATAACTGCTTGTGAAGACACCTGTGAGCTCTTCTCTAGTACATTGAGGTGCAATAGAAAAATTTTAATTTTATGCAGAGGTTTACACATGTGAAGTGTTGGTTTGTAAAATGCTTTATGTCTCCCTCCCAGCTCAGTAACTGCCATGGGACCTTGGGGCAGCTCAGGGCTACCTGATCGATTGACATCCAAGCTCTGTGTTGTCTTTGGAAAGTGATGTTTGTTTGTGAGGTTTTTATGTGTTTTTTCTTTCCCTCCTCTCATAGAAATGCCTCAAACTGTGCTTATTCTATCCCCATCCATGCTGGATTGCTGCTGTGCTGCCTCTGCTTGTAAAGATGTAAATAAAGACGTATCAGAAGTAAAAATAAAGATGTATCAGGAAACGCAGGATTTCTCTGGATGATCATTTCCCTGTGCTCCTCTCCCTTTGTTTCCAAGGGTGTTTGAGGCTGCTGACATTTCCTGCAGCCCCCTGAGCCCCTGGCCAGGGAGCAGCTCCTCCCAGCAGTGCAGAGTCAGGTGCTGAGGCACCAGCTCAGCTCTTGCACTAAAGGGAATTTAGGCCACTTTCAGACACACTTAATTCTTAAATAAATACTATGATTACGTCTCCTAAAGACTATGATTATATCTCTACAGGAATGAAGTGGGATCAAGCTGCAGCACTTTGCTGTGTTTAAAATAGGACCAGGCTGCCATTAACCTGTTGGATGCTGCACCATCTGCAGGGACAGGATCCTGGGGAAAGTTGCTGCTGCACAATTCCCATTGCCACATGGGTTTTTATCTTCTGCTTACCATATTTGTTTATTTTTTTTCCCCTGCTTGCCTTTAGAGGAGGATCCAGCATGTCTCTGGCTGTGGTTTGCTGCTGCCAGCCTCCTCCCCCAGCAGCCAAGCAGCCACTGGCTTTGCACCAGCAGCATTTGGCAGGCTGAAACCTCTTTTTTGGGGTGCTTTGGGGATGGAGGGGAACCCTGAGGTAAAAAACTCCACCTAATAACACCAATCCCAGCAATTCATTAAGCAGAGTTGCAGCATGGGCTGCAGGGGACTCGGTGTTGCTGTGGAAAAAGTGATTTTTATTTTTTTGTTTTTGGCTCTGGGAAGTCGTGCTGTGGCCAGCCATGACTCAGAATCAGGGTGCCACCTCTTGCCTGCTGCCCACACGCTTTGGAGAGGAGCTGGGAGGGGAAAATGAATCCCTGGGAGTGCTGGAGGAGGCCTGGCTGGCTGAGCTCCACTAGATGTCATTGCAAGCTGGGGAGAAGAGCTCAGTGCTGGGTGAGCACAGCCCTGTGAGGGCTCCGAGTGGCTGCAGAGGCTCAGGGCGGCCCCAGCTCCAAGGACGGATCCCCCAGAGCAATCCCAGGGCTGAGGGTTGGAGGTGCAGGAGCTCCAGCACAGCCCCTGTGAGGAAAAGCAGCTCCTGCCCCAAGCTGCCACCATCCTGAGATGGTTATTGGGGAAAAGGAGAAAATTTGGCTCCCTCTGGGGTTTGTGTTTCATACCAGAGAATCCCACAATTGTTTGGTTCAAAGGGACCTTCAAGCCCATCCAGTGCCACCCCTGCCAAGGGCAGGGACACCTCCCACCATCCCATGGTGCTCCAAACCCCATCCAACCTGGCCTTGGACACTTCCAATGGTGCCACAGCTGCTCTGGGCACCTGTGCCAGGGCCTCAGCACCCTCACAGGAAGAATTTCCTCCCAAAATCCCATCTAACCTTGCCCTCTGGCACTGGGAAGCCATTCCCTGTGTCCTGTGGGACTCTGTGGGCACAGGGAGGTTTTGTTTCACCTGGACCAGCCCCAGCACATCCTGTCCAGCACCCAGGCACCACCAGCACTCCCTGCATGGCACAGGGCATCACTGTGCTTGCATTAATGCCCCCAAAGGGCATCACTGTGCTTGCATTAACCCCTTGCACACCCAGCTGTGACACAGCGTCCCCAGGGCTGTGCTGAAGGTGCCACCTCCCCAGGTCCCTCAGCAGCTCCAGCCTTGCTCCTGCTCCCTCCTCACTCACTGCCAGAATTGCCTCCAGGAGCACAAAGGAGCTGCCAGATGGGTGGACTTTGGGAAAAAAAATAAGGTTAAAAATAAAGGAATGAGGGAGTGTGACGGTATTCACAGGGGTCTCAGGTTGAGGGAAGAGATGAGGATCTGACTCCATGTTTCAGGAGGCTTGATTTATTATTTTATGATATATATTATATTAAAACTATACTAAAAGAATAGAAGAAAGGATTTCATCAGAGGCTAGCTAAGAATAGAAAAAGAAGGAATGATAACAAAGGTTTGTGGCTCAGACTCTGTGTCCGAGCCAGCTGGGCTGTGATTGGCCATTAATTAGAAACAACCCCATGAGACCAATCCCAGATGCCCCTGTTGCATTCCACAGCAGCAGATAACCATTGTTTACATTTTGTTCCTGAGGCCTCTCAGCTCCTCAGGAGAAAAAATCCTAAGGAAAGGATTTTCCATAAAATGTGTCTGTGACAGAGGGAGGGTTAAGAAAACTCTGTGTGTGTAAGTAGGTGCATGTGGAGAGATGTGTGAGAGGGAGAGGAAATTTGCTGAACCAGGGTACAGCACAGGCATTCAGCTCTTCACATCTCACCAGGCTGGTTTGGTTGGAGTCCTGCAGCCCAGAGTGTCCCTACAAACTCCAGAGTGTCCCTACAAACCCCAGAGTGTCCCTGCAAACCCCAGGGTGTCCCTGCAAACCCCAGTGTCCCTACAAACCTCAGGGTGTCCCTGCAAACCTCAGGGTGTCCGGGGGTTCTGCCCCACAGTTGGCACAGGCTGCTCTGAGGGATAACTCTGCTGTTCCCTTCTGATGGCAGCAGCTTCCTTGTGGGAGAGAGGGGGAAAAAGCACAAAGCAAAGCAGGGAGAAAATAAGAGGGGAATGTTTGCCGACTGTCTGCTGTGTGTTGTTGGTGTTTGTTGTGTTTCTGTGGTTGCTGTGGCAACGCTGGCAAGGGATGCCAGGCTGCAGCACGGTGGGTACCAGCACAGCATGGTGAGGAGCTGGGCATGGACTGCTGGATGGGGCTGGGCAGGGCATTTGTGGGGTCACATTTGGGGTCTAGCTCAGCTCCTGCACTCCTGGAGAGCCTGGGGTGGGTGTGGGTTCACATCCCAGTATCTGGTTGGGTTTTGGTTCACATCCCATGGCCTGGGGTGGGTTCTGGTTCCCATCCCATGGCCTGGGGTGGGTTCTGGTTGGGTTCTGGTTCACATCCCATGTTCTGGGATGGGTTCTGGTTCCCATCCCAGGGCCTGGGGTGGGTTCTGGTTCCCATCCCATGGTCTGGGGTGGGTTCTGGTTGGGTTCTGGTTCACATCCCAGTATCTGGAGTGAGTTCTGGTTCACATCCCATGGCCTGGGGTGGGTTCTGGTTGGGTTCTGGTTCACATCCCATGTTCTGGGGTGGGTTCTTGTTCCCATCCCATGGTCTGGGGTGGGTTCTGGTTCCCATCCCATGTTCTGGTTGGGTTCTGGTTCACATCCCATGTTCTGGTTGGTTCTAGTTCACATCCCAGAGCCTGGGGTGGGTGTGGGTTCACATCTGAGAGCCTGGGGTGGGTTCTGGTTCTGCCCACCCATCCCATGGTCTGGGGTGGGTGTGGGTTCACATCCCATGGTCTGGGGTGGGCATTGGTTCAATCTTCTGGTTGGAATATTGAACACAGGAATACAGGGCTGTTGGAATTTTGGAATATATTGGGATATATTGGGATATATTGGAACACAGGAATGCTGAAATTTAGGAATGCTGGAATTTAGGAAAACAGGGCTGTTGGAATATTGAAATCTAGGAATATTGAAACACAGGATTATTGAAATATAGGAATGTAGGAATACAGGACTGTTAGTATGTGGGAATGTTGGAATATTGAACACAGGAATACAGGGCTGTTGGAATATTGGAATATATTGGAATATATTGGGAAATATTGGAATATATTGGAATATATTGGAATATATTGGGATATATTGGAATATATTGGAATATATTGGGATATATTGGGATATATTGGGATATATTGGAATACAGGAATGCTGAAATTTAGGAATGTTGGAATTTANTGGACTGCTGGATGGGGCTGGGCAGGGCATTTGTGGGGTCACATTTGGGGTCGAGCTCAGCTCCTGCACTCCTGGAGAGCCTGGGGTGGGTGTGGCTTCACATCCCATGTTCTGGTTGGGTTTTGGTTCACATGCCAGGGCCTGGGGTGGGTTCTGGTTCACATCTGAGAGCCTGGGGTGGGTTCTGGTTCCCATCCCATGGTCTGGGGTGAGTGTGGGTTCACATCCCAGGCCTGGAGTGGGCATTGGTTCAATCTTCTGGTTGGAATATTGAACATAAGAATACAGGGCTGTTGGAATTTTGGAATATATTGGGATATATTGGGATATATTGGGATATATTGGGATATATTGGAATACAGGAATGCTGAAATTTAAGAATGTTGGAATTTAGGAGAACAGGGTTGTTGGAATATTGAAATCTAGGAATATTGAAACATAGGATTGTTTAAATATAGGAATATTGCAGTATAGGAATACAGGACTGTTAGGATATGGGAATGTTGGAATATTGAACACAGGA